GCTCTGTGTAATGTAATGTAATATAATTATCGTACGATAAACAATATAATTATTGTTTATCGCACTATAACAGGGGACTCGAACACATCAACACATTCCATTTGTTCAGTTTACCCTTGTATCCTCAAAGCCATATTAATTTATGAAATTAAGGCCATATTTAGGACAATTCCAAAATCTTTTATGGCCAAAAGCAACATAAAATTTATTAAAGTGGAACTCATGAGGGTCAAACTGGGTCAGACAGTCTAAAGATGATCTCACAATCAGAGAACAAGATAGTGATTGAGCTCTGCATGTGTGATTTCCTCCATCAGTCTTGGAGGAGGCAGGTTAATGTGGTGGGATTGCTTTGTTAATTAAAGAGCTGGTGATCCTCAGCACATCTACAGGAGTTCTATAAAGCATGACCATCACCATGATCTAATCAGAGGCACTGACTACACATTACACTATATACATGTTATAAAAAGATTTGGAAAAGGTTTATTTAACTATAACTATAATGGCTTTCTGAGACTTTAATACCGTGTAGATCATTAGACATGTGTGGATGTATTCTGCTTTACTGACAGCAAAAAAAAAACGTCTAAATATTATAAAGTTTGAAAGACACTTAAGCCATTTGTGTGTGTAGCGCCCCTACACCGGGTCATGGTAAATATCTGAACTTGGCTAAATGTCCCGTTAGGGCGCCCTGGGTTCTGTTAATGTGGTTTAGTAGCTCTGAATGAATTTACTGCTTGTTTATGGATAGATTCTAGCTTAAGGACTGTAAAAAGCATACCTTGGCGGTGCCTCCAATAAATGAGGTAGACGGGAACTATGCTAGTACCCCCTTCTGATGAAATAAACAGCACTTAGAATACTTACATGTAGGATGTATATAGATATTGGATTTAATACACCCCAAACACACAATATAAACACTCTCAAGAAAATAAAAGGGTAAACTCACATAGAAACTGTATGGCTCAGAAATCTCTAATTCACAACCCTGCTCTTAAAAGAGTTTAAGAGTTTTAGTGTGCTCGCGTGTGCTCGCGGGGCTCGGAGGGGTTAGGCTAGTCGGCTGAGGCGGCTAACAGTGCAGACTCCCACGGTGCCAGTGGAAGTTTGGGCTTTCCGGTCACCCAAACCGCTAACTGGTGATGGCTGAGCGTTGAGCGAGGTCTATAACTAACTTGGTTGGACAGGAGAAGGTTTGGTTGAGTTAACCAAAAAGTCCAATATTAACTATCACACGAGGTTGGCGGCCAGTCTGAGCTAGGCTAGCGGGCAGTGAGTGTCGAACTTGTTAGCTAAACTGCTATAAGTACCAGTAATTATATAACATTACCATCTCTTTCCTTGTCGCACAGTTGTTTTCGTGATATCGAGCTGATAACACAACTGTAATATTAGAGCGGTGGTTCCGTTAATCACAGAATCACCGTGGAACTTTTCGCTCTCTCCTCCTCGCTCTTTCCCTTCCCCCCTCGTCCCCCTAGCCCCGCCCCTTTCTCCCTGCACAGCCTCTGACAGAGAGCTCAGGTCATGAACTGAAACCAAATTAAAAGAAGGGAGAAGAAATAAAGACAAAGAATATAACATAGTTTATCAATATTAAACCAAATTTATATGAACTATTTTAAAGGAACAAAACTTCTATGACTGATTATTTAGCAGGGTTACATGTGTATGACAGGTTTAGAAGGGTAAAAACAAGCAGTAGCCAGTTCAGATTTGTATCCATGTGGGCAAAAATCATTTTCTGCTAAAAGAGAGAAAAAAGTTTTGATCAAATGTGTATTTATTTACTCCCTGCATGCAGTTTGGTTTCTCCACTAAAACTCCTGCACTGAGAGACAGACTGACAGCAGTAGCTGCAAAATCCCACAAAGACTGACACACTTTAAACTGAACAATATGAGATCGCCCCCCACTGGACATTAAGAGAATATTACACTGACCTGGAAAGGCAGATTGCTGAGCTGTGAGAAGATCAACTGTGGAGATCAGGAGAGTGAAGATTCACATATGAATCACAGTAAAAACCTCAAACTGACAGTAAATCTCTACAATATACACAATAAAACAGTCTTAAACAGTTTACAGTGTGTTCAGTTCAACACATTTCAGCAACAACAGAAGCTGATAAACAACACATATAAACATTTTCATGCTTCTGTCTGATATTCAGCAGCTCTAAACTGAACCATGAAGAACTCCTTCTGTTTCCATGCTGTTATACTCAATGTCACATGATCACTGCAGCCAATAGAGTCATTTCCATAGAGAGAGCTGACTTTGCATTATCAGCACATGCTTCAGTGCTCTGGGAGAGTTTATAGTCCTGTGAGTTTAACACTTCATGACTGAGAGCTGCTGCCCCACAAACTTCACCCACAGCAGACATGACTTTGATCACCATCTTCATCTGGACTCTGATCTTCTGGACTCAAGGTAATGCACCAAAGAGCATTATTTTTATTACTTCATTATTTTAAATATGATTTTCAGAATAAAGCAATAAAGAAAACAAATGCAGTAAATTCATTCATTTGTTTATTCTTCTATTTTCCCAGAATCCAGAGGTCAGGCGACTGTGACTCAGACTCCTGCAGTGAAATCTGCTCTTCCAGGAGAAACAGTCACCATCAGCTGTAGAACCAGTGCTGCCGTGTACGGCCGGTCCTGTTTTCCACCTTGTCTCAATTTAGCCTGGTACCTGCAGAAACCCGGAGAAGCTCCTAAACTCCTGATCTACACCACTAGCAGTAGAACATCAGATTGTCCAGCTCGTTTCAGTGGCAGTGGATCTGGATCTGACTTCACTCTGACCATCAGTGGAGTCCAGACTGAAGATGATGGAGATTATTACTGTATGGGTGAATTTTACATCGGTAGTAGATACTCGTTGACACAGTGATACAGAGCCGTACAAAAAGCTGTGAGAGTCAGAGACACAGAGACTGCACTGCAGTAGCTGAGACCTACTGCAGGTGCTGAGGGGGAGGATGTGATACCGCACAATCACACACTCTGTGGAGGAGAGGAAACACACCACACTAACACACAACTCAACACACACATCTATAAATAAGCACAAAGCAATAATGCACACAGCATTTCAACTCAACTTCTATGAGAGGAGTAGTTTAGTAGAGCTGCAGCTCATTCTAGTCCTACTGTTCGTGTGTCAGTGGTGGAACCTGAGTGTGGTTTAATCTAGAGCTGAACACATGATGTGTGTGTGGGATGTGGGGAAACACTCAGTACTGCAGAACCAACAGTGCCTTAGATTTTCACATCTCTGGTTTCCATCAACACTTTATATCAACATCTCCTCTAAACATGCTGTAGATGTTTTCACACACATTTCATTCTCATAACTGGACACAGTGACTCTTGGTGTGCAGTAATAACATTTTGTAACACACTTTATAAACTCTGTGCTGCCCCTATAAACACTAATATCCCTGATTCATGAAGTGATGATGCTGTTGTTTCATTCTACACTGCTGTCTCATTAAGTTGATGCTGGAGTGACCAGATCAGGACTGTTCAGTCTCAGGACAGCAGAGCTGCTTTTACAGGACAGTGTGGGACGAGAATTAGTTTAGTTTATTCACCTTCATTTAATAATAGACAGAGTGTGTCAGGGATGCAGGAAGGAGTTTTAAGTTGAGGCCAAATTTAAACAGCATTCATGTGATGTGACTGATGATGTCATTCAAAATGATTTGCATTTTGTATTAGATTTTTCTTTTTTTGCTAATTTACATCAAACAGAACGTGTCATACAGTGTTAGAATGATATAACTGACATATCAAACCACTGAGGCACATCGTCACTCTGCTCTCTCGCTCTGGATGAGCTTAATGCAGATGAACTGAGTGGTGACCAATCAGATTGTTGGTGTGTGGAGCAGTTACTGATTGTGTCGTCCACAGTCACACACTGAGATTTAACACTCAGACGCTCACTGAGTGGAGATAACGGTGGATAATAGCTTCGTTATTATGACAGATCATTCTTTTTAGGTTTAAATAATAACATTGGGCTGCTTTGGGTCTCAGAACTGACCTACAGCTCTGACCAGTCTTTCTCTCTTTGCAGCTCTACCTGAGTGTGTTTGAGCGACGCCCCTCAAAACGGCCAACAGTTTTCAGCTGTGATGAAAACATGACGTTCACTTTTAAACAGTGTAGAGATTCTGCAGGTTTAGAAAGATATAAAGAACAAACTCCACTCTTAAGCACACATGAGTCTTTACTACACTCACATTATCATAAAGTTCAGAACATTTATTATTATTATTACTATTATTATTATTATTATTATTATTATTATCAATGTGTTTGACTGGGAGCTGAAGAGTGAGATGAAGGCTACTGTTGAAATGCAGTGAAATAATGGGAACATCATACAATCTCAAACTGAAATGTACAGCAGTGAACAGCTGTATAATCTCCATTTATTCATTACTGCATTATTTTATTCATTTATAACTGAATCCTGAATCATTTCTGTTCATTCATTCTCTATATTTACCAAACTAACATGCTAATAAAGTCAGTAAATGTTTCTCTTTCCTACAGAAATCATGGCCTGCAGTTCCAAACGCAGCTATATTGATCAGTTTATTAATAATGATGGTGTTTGTGAGTCTGTAGTGTAAATATCAGGTTGTATTTCTTCTTATTATCACTTTTACCCAGTTAAGTTGTGGTCAGTTCCTCTGTGTTTTTCCCATTTGCTGTTTTAATCCAGTTTGCTGTGAGCTGTATGTGTTGAAGTGTTTACTGCAGCGTTTAGTCTGTAAAATTAGGACACAAAAAATAAGAAAAGTAAAGCCAGTAAATGATCCTCATCGGGAGATTTTACAGCTGGAATCAATATGATGTTTCCTCTTTTCTCTAAACACAGATTATTTGGCTGAAACCCAACCATTCAGTCAGAGAGCCGCAGGGAGCTCTGTGATTGGTCAAACCACACGTCAGTCAGGCTGTTCAGCCTGTAAGGAACACCAGCACGACCTCCTGCGGCATCAAATAGATCCAGTACAAACCAATTAAAGTGAATCTTTAGCAGCGTCGATTCTGTGAAGAGAGGATCAGAAACAGCGTTTGGAGAGAAGAACAGAGGTAATTACTGAAGTTTATCAGCCTGAGTTTAGTTTATGATGTGATGATGAAGCTGTTTCAGACACTGAGAGCAGAAAAATAACTTTTAGGTGAAGTGATGAAGGAGACGGACCGCTTCTGTGGGCGGGGCTCTCTTTTATATCTGATCGCTGCGTGTAAAACGGTTAATCCTCTCTAATGATCGTTGTTTTCATCCAAGACCAGCAGCTCCAACTCGGTTTAGGTGTGAAATGTATCGCTGTGTCTGAAACCGCGGAACGCGTTGATTTCTACGGGCTGCTGCGCCTCAGTGAGAGCTCAGGGACCGTCTACAAACTACACTACAGTGAAGACGCTCAGCGGGAAAAAGCGCTCAGCACTGTATTATATTAACACTCAGCCTTATGAGCCTCAGTAGACCTTTCAGCAGATCACAGATCAGCAGTTAGAGGGTTTAGAAAAGGCTGTAATTATAATTATTACTTTGTTAACACAAATAAACTGTTTGTAATGAAAAGCTCTCCAATGTATGACTTGTATTTACAAAATTGTTGGACTTGCTTGACTGAATTAGTTCCTCCATGTTGTAAACAAAAAGAGTTCTGAATTATTTCTATACGGTTAATGAATTGCAGCTCCTGCTGGGTGAAAATCAGAGTCAGATCTGAAAGACTCGTCTCTCTACGTCACTGATTGTATCAGCTTCTAAAAAATATCAGCTGCACCAAAACACGTAATAATACATTTTGAAAACAGGATTTATGATCTAATTTTGACAACGTCGGAATGTTTAATTTGAATTCTCCAAAAACAACTGTAAATTCAGCTCACATGATGTACCAAAACTCCTATAGTTGCAAATGTAACTGCTGCCGAACTCCAGTGACTCCAGTGAGTTTTGAGTGAATTAATTTCAGCAGCAGACAAACTGCTGGTTGTCCAAGTGGTGCTCAGAAAACAATGTGGGCTTTGTAGATAAAGAGTCTGTTTTTGAGGGGAAAGCTTGGTCTTTTGAGTCGGAAAGGGAGGGGGCTGCTCTCATTCCCTTCAGCATAGCTCATAGTCACTCAGATAGTCATGAGTGTAGGAGTCAGTCGCTGACAAACCAAGGCTGAGGCCAGCAGACAAACAGGCTAAACCAACCGTCTACTAGCTGTCTTGAGACGCCACATAGGTTCCACCCAGTTGAGACTGTCTGTTCACCTGAATAAAACAAAACATCAAAACTATTTAATCAATATCAGACCAGTTAAACCAAATTGCAATGACAGCATCTTTGGTCTAAAACTGGGGCGGTTTAACATAAAATGTCTATGTCTAAACATCTAAACATTACATCGTCGTTGTATTATTACTAATAATTTGTTGAATTATTATTGCTCATGATTTTGATGCTCTGTGTCTCACAGAAACGTAGATTAGAACAGATGAATTCTTTGGTCTAAATGAAGCCCCCCATAGGTTAAAGTTATGTGCATAGCCCTTGTTTAAGCAGCTGACGAGGAGGTATAGCAACCTTTTAGACAACAGGCATGAACCAGAAAGCAGGCTACAAATTCTCCTCTTTCAACATTCTTTTTCTGTAAGTGATCGAGGAACAAATAGTTCATTTTACACTAATTACAATCTACATCTACGTTCTTACAGGAATTTGCTTACTTTCTCTCAAGTTCAATAACGCTCTCAAACAAAGTAAGAATTGTTGAAGATTTTAATATCCACTTTGATAAACCACAGGATCCACTAAGGTATTTATATCTATCTTAGACTCTGTAGGTCTCACTCAAAATATAAAGGGCCCACTCACTGTTGAAACCACACTCTTGACTTAATTCTGACCTTTGGTGTAAACATAGATCATTAGCCGTTCTCCCTCAGAGCACAGCAGTCTCAGATCATTACCTGATCTCATATGAAATTTGCTTTAGTCGTAATGCTTGTTTAACACTGTGCTATTGTGTTAAGTGGAATATAACATCCTTCACAGCTAGAGGTTTTATCAGAAACCTCCCAGATCTATCATCTTCTAACAGCTGTCCGTCTGAACCTACTGAATTAGATACTATGACCAAGTGCATAAAGGATACTTTTTTCTACTCTAAATAATGTGCCACAATTCCAAAAGTAAAACTTATTACAGACCTATTTCAAACCTTCCCTTTATGTCAAAGATTTTGGAAAAACAACTATTTGCATAGGAATTACATACATGAAAAATAGTACAGAGACAGCAAAAATTGTTAGCAATCTCTTATTATTCTCTGACCAAGGAAGTGTATCTTTGCTGGTTTTGCTTGATCTTAGTGCAGCATTTGATATGATAGTCCATTCTTTCTTATAAGACAGGCTAGAAAACCCTGTAACAGTAACAGGAACAGCTCTTTCCTGGTTCAGGGCTTACCTGACTGATCGCTATCAGTTTGTGAATTTAAACAGTGAATCTCCTGTTCTTACAGAAGTATGGTGTTCCACAAGGCTCTGTTTTAGGACTTCTATTATTAACAGTATATATATTCTACCGATGGGTACTAATATCAGTAAACACGGCATCAATTTCCACTGCTATGCCAATGCATTTATTACCTCAAGGTAGCAAAAGCATTCACAAGCTTCAGTTAGTCCAGAACGCTGCAGACAGAGTCTCACAAGAACCAGAAAGTTTGACCATATCAGCCCAGTTTTATCAAACATACACTGGTTGTTAATTATATTCTGCATTCAGTATAAAATTCTTTTACTGACATATGAAGCTCTAAACCTGAGTGAACTCAGTACCTGAGTGAACTTAGTACTTGAGTGAACTTCTCTCTTATTGTGAACCATCACGCCTACTTAGATCACAAGGTGCCGCTCACTAATAGTACCTAGAATTAATAAAGTCAGCCATTTCATACAAAGACATTTCATACAAAGCCCCCCAGCTTTGGAATAATCTTCCAGTCAGTGTTTGGGACTCAGATACAGACTCAATCCTAAAAATCCTACTGGGCTAAAATCCTACTTGTTTAGCTGAGCCTTTGGTAATTAGTTTTCCCTGTTACATAAAAGGTGCAGATCTGGGGGTTCATGCACTTTGTCAACACTGTAATCTGTGATCAGTCACTCTTTACAGCACTAACTCTCTGTGTTTTCTTTGCCGAGTTGAACAGCTGCCCATCCTGTGCATCTGATGCTGTTGCTTCTTCTGCCTTGATCGAGTGTTCACTGCTCACCTACCTTCTGGACCGGTTTGACCACCATGGATCTTCTTGCTGTACAACACTGTGCAAACCTCACCTGCATTAACTGACCCTCCTGATGATACTGCATGCACTGACTCAAACTGTTTAATCAGAGCTATCGCTTCACCTGCTTTTCCTTTTCCTGTATTTCAATATTTTACATTAATGTTAAAACTTTCTCTGTTCTATTTTACTTGTGTTATTGTGTTGCTATCCAGTGTCAATCAGAGGAGGATGGTTTCCCCTTTTGAGTCTTAGTTCCTCTCAAGGTTTCTTCCTCTTGCTTTTAGGCAGTTTTCCTTGCCACTGTCACCCTTGGCGACACTCATGGGGACTTGGACCCAGATTGTTTTATAAAGCTGCTTTGTGACAACGGCTGATATAAAAAGTGCTGTATAAATAAACTTTGACTTGATTATCAAATGGAACCTTCTGACAACATAACCTACTAATTTAAACGTTTTAAGACTATTTTCACCAAAAATGACTGAATAATAAGGTTGACACCTGGGTAACAGGGTTGAACTTATTCCCTAATAAGTTGATATTAATATAGTTACAAAACATATAATGCATACAACATAGAGCTGAAGGGAAAGTTTAAACAGTGTTTTAATAAACATTTTCATTAAAATCTTTGTTTCAAGCCACTTTCATTTTATTTTCATTTTAAAATAATTAAGGGTTAAAAATGGGTAACAGGGTTGCAAATTTAGCCTAAAATAAGCAGCATTCAGGAGTGGTTAGCTTGACAGGTTGCACATGTTGATTGCAAGTTACTAATAACCATATAGTTTACAACCCAAAAATATTAGGACACTGTGCAAATGTAAAAAAAACGTGCAAAGATATGCAAATCCTGCATTTAAGTACTACATGGGAATGATATTTAAACCCTATATTTAATTACAAAGACAATGTGTCATGTATTAAAACTGAGAAATTTTACTGTTTTTGAAAAATATATGCCTATTTTGAATTTGATGCAGTACAAAGACATTACAGCTCAGAGAGGGATAGTGAACAGCAGGGCTGCTGAAGATCAGAGGACCACAGCACTCTGTATGTTTGTACTGTATGTGACAGTGTAGTTCTGAAACATAACCCATCTTAGCTCTGTTCTTGTCCAACTTTCCCTTCTTATTTACCTTCCAGAAATAGCATCTTTGTTTATTCTAGTGGGGAAATCTGGAAGTCTGTGCCGGCTTTTGGCCATCATTCAAATTCAAACATTGTATTCAAACCATTTGCTGTGAGTGGGTTGAGAATCCTACTGAAAAGACTTGGGGCCATATTGCAGAAGCTTCTTAAATCTGAAATCTTATCTGTTTATTCACCATGACAACTTTAATTAGGACTGAATTTAAGACAGAAGCTATTACAGATCTTAAGTTCACAATCTTGTCCATTAACTCCAGATAAGAAAACAGTGTTACACAAACATTCTAACTAGACTAAATTTACTTTAATTCTGTTAACTTTAAGATAAACTCCAGAGGGTCTTAACTTCTGTTTTAACTGTCTGTTTCTATTATTTTATGTACTGACCGACATCATAGTTCACTATAACTAGCATAATGACGTGAAAACTGTACTCTGACCCGTTTTTTTTTTTTTTAACAGCGTTTTAAAAGCCCAGACGCTGCAGACACGAACTACTAACCATGAGTTAATGTTGATGAAAAGTCATCAGATACACTATTACAGAGATGGTGGTGAATAATGAGGAGACAGAGCTGAACATGTGTCTGTTTATTAGGAGGAATAACTTTAGCGCACTCGGCTAAAGTGTTTGAGAAACTGAAACCATAGAGCGGCGTCGCTCTGATAAACGGCACAAAGCGCTCTGACAGCTCCTTAACTTTCAGTTTATCACGCTTTAGTTTTGTTTGACCTGTGATTTACATCAGTAATGATAGCTAGCTGCCCGGCTAACTAGCTTGATTACTTTGATTACGTGTTTACGTTTCAGCTGTGCGCATATGGTCGGTTGCTAGGTAACAGACATGACAGTTGATAACTTCAATTTCAACTTCAATCGAGTAAGTTAAGATTTCTTAACTTGAGAAGATGCTGTAAAATAAGATTCTTAAATCAAGATAAGATTTGCTTCTATAATATGAATTTGTGAAAATTCTTACCTTGACCTGTGAAATTTTAAGTTGAGACCAAAAGATAAGAAATGAGATGATTATTATACATTTTACATTTACAAAGATATTTTACATTTACATTTACAGCATTTAGCAGACACTCCTATCCAGAGTGACTTACAAAAAGTGCTTTGTCTATCTGGAGAAATTATCTTTGCTAGTTTCCAATAGGTTAGAGAGAAAGCCAATCCTGAGCTCAGATACTGCTAGAAACAAAAAGTCACTGTTGATAACCAGAGAAAAAGGAACAGAGTGGAACACAAAACAGTGCAATACAATACAATACATTTCAATAAGTGCAGTACAATACATTACAATCGATACTTAATTCAGTGCTCATTTCAGTGCTGTATAAAGAGATGTGTCAGTCTGTGTTTGAAGACAGCGAGAGACTCTGCTGTTCGGACAGCCAGTGGGAGTTCGTTCCACCACCTGGGTGCCAGCACAGAGAACAGTCTTGATGCTTGTCTTCCGCGCGCCTTGAAGGATGGCGGGTCAATCCGAACGTAGCAGTGGGATGATGTGGCTGAACTTATGTAGATTGACGACGAGCCGTCCTGCTGCATTCTGGATGAGTTGCAGAAGCTTGATGGCCTCATAGGAAGACCAGCCAAGAGCCAGTTGCAGTAGTCAAGCCTTGAGATGACAAGAGACTGAACTAGGACCTGGGTGGCCTCTCGAGTGAGGAAGGGTCGGATCCTCCTCATTTTATCAGCCTTGTGACTGATAGACCAGCCTCTACAATTCACACCTTTGGCTAACCTGAAACTAGTAACTACAGTTAAGCACCAGGTTGCACAAGACAGCCTTGTGACTAACAGAGTCAAAGCTAAAGAAAGTCTCAACTCAGAGCCCAACTTTACCATCAGAAAGATGATTGTCAATTAGAAAACGAGGAGAGACAGAAAATAGAACTGTGTTCAAGAGAACAGCTTTCACATGAAGCGCATATGTAGACTCAACTGTGTGTGTGTGTGTGTGTGTGTATGTGTGTGTGTGTGTGTTTTCAGGATTCAGTGTGATCTGAAGGAGGAGAGATGTCCTCCAAAATGAGTCTCTCTGAGGAACAGGGCACACAGGAAGCTGAGAGGTGAGAGAATAATGTGATCTGGTGTGAAGTGAGTTTGTTCTCTAGTTCACCACCATGTAAGACAGTTTGTCTGATTGTGTTTTAGGCTGAATCAGTGTAAGAGATCTGACTCACCTGAACCCAGCTGTGTGTCCATGAAGAGTGACTGGTCAATGAGCAGAATATTAGGGTTTAGAGATGGTCATAGATCTACTAAGTTCAGGTAAGAATGGTGTGAAACTGAAGAGTGAGATTATAAGACACTCCTACTTTCTCTCTGAACTCCAGTGTTCTTGAAGGGAAAATGGCTCAAAGGCTTGAAGTTTCTGAGATCATAAAGATCATAAAAGTGATACTTATTTCATATTTCTTTATTTTGTGTAATAGAGAACATTACATGGTTCACACACACACACATACAAACACACACACACACACACAAACACACACACACACACACACATACTCAGACATACACTTTAAGTTAATTATATTTGAAGAGAAAACATTTTTCCTTTTGACCTTCGAAATACGTCCGACAAATTTTAATGGCAAAGAGATTTTTCTCTTTTTTTGACCCGATTTTGTTGTACACAAGTATGTTCACACACACACACACACACACGCACACACACACAGACTGGATGAAGGTGAGAGATCTGACTCACCTGAACTCAGCTCTGTGTCCATGAAGAGCGACAGGTCAGAGGACAGACTTATAGATTTCAGAGATGATAACAGATCTACTGAGTTCAGGTCAGAATGATGTGAAAATCTCCAAAATGAGTTTCTCTGAGGAACAGGACACACAGGAAGCTGAGAGGTGAGAGAATAATGTGATCTGGTGTGAAGTGAGTTTGTTCTCTAGTTCACCACCATGTAAGACAGTTTGTCTGATTGTGTTTTAGGCTGAATCAGGGTAAGAGATCAGACTCACCTGAACCCAGCTGTGTGTCCATGAAGAGTGACCAGTCAATGGGCAGAATAATAGGGTTCAGAAATCGTCACAGATCTACTAAGTTCAGGTAAGAATGGTGTGAAACTGAAGAGTGAGATTATAAGATACTCCTACTTTCTCTCTGAACTCCAGTGTTGTTGATGGGAAAATGGTTCAAAGTTTGTTCTCTAGTTCACCACCATGTAAGACAGTTTGTCTGGTATTGTTTGTGTTTTAGACTGAATCAGGGTAAGAGATCTGACTCACCTGAACCCAGCTGTGTGTCCATGAAGAGTGACCAGTCAGAGGACAGAGATATAAACTTCAGAAGTGATAACAGATCTGCTAAGTTCAGGTAAGAACGATGTGAAAATCTCCAAAATGAGTCTCTCTGAGGAACAGGACACACAGGAAGCTGAGAGGTGAGAGAATAATGTGATCTGGTGTAAAGTGAGTTTGTTCTCTAGTTCACCACCATGTAAGACAGTTTGTCTGGTATTGTTTGTGTTTTAGGCTGAATCAGGGTAAGAGATCTGACTCACCTGAACCCAGCTGTGTGTCCATGAAGAGTGACTGGTCAATGAGCAGAATATTAGGGTTCAGAGATGGTCATAGATCTACTAAGTTCAGGTAAGAATGGTGTGAAACTGAAGAGTGAGATTATAAGATACTCCTACTTTCTCTTTGAACTCCAGTGTTCTTGAAGGGAAAATGGCTCAAAGGCTTGAAGTTTCTGAGATCATAAAGATCATAAAAGTGATACTTCTTTCATATTTCTTTATTCTGTGTAATACAGATCATTACATGGTTCACACACACACACACATACAAACACACACACATACAAACACACACATACTCAGACATACACTTTAAGTTAATTATATTTGAAGAGAAAACATTTTTCCTTTTGACCTTCGAAATACTTCCTACAAATTTTAACGGCAAAGAGATTTTTCTCTTTTTTTGACCCAATTTTGTTGTACACAAGTATGTTCACACACACACACACACACACACACGCAGAAAATTTTCAGGTCATTTCTGGTACTGCTTGTGTCAGACTGGATGAAGGTGAGAGATCTGACTCACCTGAACTCAGCTGTGTGTCCATGAAGAGCGACAGGTCAGAGGACAGACTTATAGATTTCAGAGATGATAACAGATCTACTGAGTTCAGGTAAGAATGATGTGAAACTGAAGAGTGAGATTATAAGACACTCCTACTTTCTCTTTGAACTCCAGTGTTCTTGAAGGGAAAATGGCTCAAAGGCTTGAAGTTTCTGAGATCATAAAGATCATAAAAGTGATACTTCTTTCATATTTCTTTATTCTGTGTAATACAGATCATTACATGGTTCACACACACACACATACAAACACACACACACACACAAACACACACACACACATGCAGAAAATCTTCAGGTCATGTCTGGTACTGTTTGTGTCAGACTGGATGAAGGTGAGAATAATAGGGTTCAGAAATCGTCACAGATCTACTAAGTCTACTAAGTCTTCAAACACATGTAACCTGAAAATTCTAGCAGAGCACACACACACACACACACACACACACACACTCTGTGTTACTGTACTTAACTGTTATTTTGGAACATTTATACTCGTGTTTTACTGAAATTACATCACTTTTTCTGGTCAGTAAGTGAAGTTCATCTACATCTGTCTTTATTGTTTTCAATAAAGCATCCAACCAAATTTATAATAGTATAAAATGAAACTGCACACAGCTAATATTTTTGAGTGATTAATAATTCCTAATTGTTCTGTTTAATCCTAATTATCTTCACATCCATCATTTTGAGATCCTTCTTGCTTTTTGCTAAACAAAACCATATTTTTTCATGGTCTAACAGGCCTCTATTTTAAAGAGGAGCTGGAGCACAGCATTATTCATAGCTACATACTAATCAGATATAACAGCCATGGTAATAGGTAATAACATTTCTATACTGAATATGTATAAAAAAGTATGTCATAGTTTTTTTTTCTGTTAATAACGTTCATTTTTTTGTTTTTATATTGAGATATTGACCTTAAGGTGTCATGAGAACACAATGTACTGTATTTACCCTGTTTTACATGTAAATTGCTGTGTGTAGGCTGTGGGGGATGTGATTGGGAAAGATGTAATAATAATGTCAACAGAAAATGGAATAAATTGAAAGTGTTAGCAGTCATTTGTGGATTTAGCTGTAAATCTCTACCTCACCAGAGCAGTCATCAGTTTCCTCTCTCTCCTAAATGTTGTGTATTGGCTGTAAACATGAGTTAAATCTTCCATGAATACACACACAATTTCACACCAAGTATTTCTTTATTAATCCTGGTTTCTGAGTGGGCAATGGGAACGTTGCTGACCTGTGTTTGTGTGTATGCACTGTTTATAACTGAGTCCTCAGGACTCAGAGAGAGGAAGTTTAGGGAGTTCAATCAGTTTCACTGTTTAATCTCTTTTCTTTTAGGTAATATCCAATAACATGTACACACACTCTCCACTACCTGCTTTGTGATGAGTGTTTATACTTAACCTTCATCGTCTCCTCTCTGTTTTGTATAATGTGCTGCCTCTACATCATACAGACAGTCCTGATTATGGAGCTGAATCTCGGACAGCCGTCAGTCACTGAATCAGTGTTAAAGAGTAACTCCACCCTGACCTTTTTTTCATTGACAGCTGAAATGCACGGCTCTGTAATTATTAAATATACCAGCTTTGCTTAAAATTTGAACACATCTTTCCAAACTGTAGAGTGACTGGTGAATGAGCAGAATATTAGGGTTCAGAGATGGTCACAGATCTACTAAGTTCAGGTAAGAATGGTGTGAAACTGAAGAGTGAGATTATAAGATACTCCTACTTTCTCTCTGAACTCCAGTGTTGTTGATGGGAAAATGGTTCAAAGTTTGTTCTCTAGTTAACCACCATGTAAGACAGTTTGTCTGGTATTGTTTGTGTTTTAGACTGAATCAGGGTAAGAGATCAGACCCACCTGAACCCAGCTGTGTGTCCATGAAGAGTGACCAGTCAGAGGACAGAGATATAAACTTCAGAGGTGATAACAGATCTGCTAAGTTCAGGTAAGAAAGATGTGAAAATCTCCAAATTGAGTCTCTCTGAGGAACAGGACACACAGGAAGCTGAGAGGTGAGAGAATAATGTGATCTGGTCTAAAGTGAGTTTGTTCTCTAGTTCACCACCATGTAAGACAGTTTGTCTGATTGTGTTTTAGACTGAATCAGGGTAAGAGATCTGACTCACCTGAACCCAGCTGTGTGTCCATGAAGAGTGACTGGTCAATAGGCAGAATAATAGGGTTCAGAAATCGTCACAGATCTACTAAGTTCAGGTAAGAATGGTGTGAAACTGAAGAGTGAGATTATAAGACACTCCTACTTTCTCTTTGAACTCCAGTTTTCTTGAAGGGAAAATGGCTCAAAGGCTTGAAGTTTCTGAGATCATAAAGATCATAAAAGTGATACTTCTTTCATATTTCTTTATTCTGTGTAATACAGATCATTACATGGTTCACACACACACACACACACACACACATACAAACACACATACACACACACACACATACAAACACACACATACTCAGACATACACTTTAAGTTAATTATATTTGAAAGAGAAAACATTTTTTCTTTTGACCTTCGAAATACTTCCTACAAATTTTAATGGCAAAGAGATTTTTCTCTTTTTTTGACCCGATTTTGTTATACACAAGTATGTTCACACACACACACACACACACACACATGCAGAAAATTTTCAGGTCATGTCTGGTACTGTTTGTGTCAGACTGGATGAAGGTGAGAGATCTGACTCACCTGAACTCAGCTGTGTGTCCATGAAGAGTGACCGGTCAGAGGACAGACTTATAGATTTCAGAGATGATAACAGATCTACTGAGTTCAGGTAGGAATGATGTGAAAATCTCCAAAATGAGTCTCTCTGAGGAACAGGACACACAGGAAGCTGAGAGGTGAGAGAATAATGTGATCTGGTGTGAAGTGAGTTTGTTCTCTAGTTCACCACCATGTAAGACAGTTTGTCTGATATTGTTTGTGTTTTAGACTGAATCAGGGTAAGAGGTCAGACCCACCTGAACCCAGCTGTGTGTCCATGAAGAGTGACCAGTCAATGGGCAGAGATATAGACTTCAGAGGTGATAACAGATCTACTAAGTTCAGGTAAGAAAGGTGTGAAACTGAAGAGTGAGATTATAAGATACTCCTACTTTCTCTTTGAACTCCAGTGTTCTTGAAGGGAAAATGGCTCAAAGGCTTGAAGTTTCTGAGATCATAAAGATCATAAAAGTGATACTTCTTTCATATTTCTTTATTCTGTGTAATACAGATCATTACATGGTTCACACACACACACACACACACACACACACATACAAACACACACACACACACACACACACATACAAACACACACATACTCAGACATACACTTTAAGTTAATTATATTTGAAGAGAGAACATTTTTCCTTTTGACCTTCAAAATACTTCCTACAAATTTTAATGGCAAAGAGATTTTTCTCTTTTATTGACCCGATTTTGTTGTACACAAGTATGTTCACACACACACACACACACACACACATACAAACACACACACACATGCAGAAAATTTTCAGGTCATGTCTGGTACTGTTTGTGTCAGACTGGATGAAGGTGAGAATAATAGGGTTCAGAAATCGTCACAGATCTACTAAGTCTACTAAGTCTTCAAACACATGTAACCTGAAAATTCTAGCAGAGCACACACACTCACTCACACACACACACACACACACACACACACACACACACACACTATGTTGCTGTACTTAACTGTTATATTGGAACATTTATACTCGTGTTTTACTGAAATTACATCACTTTTTCTGGTCAGTAAGTGAAGTTCATCAACATCTGTCTTTATTGTTTTCAATAAAGCATCCAACCAAATTTATAATAGTGTAAAATGAAACTGCACACAGCTAATATTTTTGAGTGATTAATAATTCCTAATTGTTCTGTTTAATCCTAGTTATCTTCACGTCCATCATTTTGAGATCCTTCTTGCTTTTTGCTAAACAAAACCATATTATTTCATGGTCTAACAGGCCTCTATTTTAAAGAGGAGCTGGAGCCCAGCAGTATTCATAGCTACATACTAATCAGATATAACAGCCATGGTAATAGGTAACAACATTTGTATAGTTTGTCTGGTATTGTTTGTGTTTTAGACTGAATCAGGGTAAGAGATCAGACCCACCTGAACCCAGCTGTGTGTCCATGAAGAGTGACCTGTCAATGGGCAGAATTATAAACTTAAGAGATGGTCACAGATCTACTAAGTTCAGGTAAGAACAATGTGAAAATCTCCAAATTGAGTCTCTCTGAGGAACAGGACACACAGGAAGCTGAGAGGTGAGAGAATAATGTGATCTGGTGTAAAGTGAGTTTGTTCTCTAGTTCACCACCATATAAGACAGTTTGTCTGATATTGTTTATGTTTTAGACTGAAAAAAGATAAGAGATCAGACCCACCTGAACCCAGCTGTGTGTCCATGAAGAGTGACTGGTCAATGAGCAGAATAATAGGGTTCAGAAATCGTCACAGATCTACTAAGTTCAGGTAAGAATGATGTGAAACTGAAGAGTGAGATTATAAGATGCTCCTACTTTCTCTCTGAACTCCAGTGTTCTTGAAGGGAAAATGGCTCAAAGGCTTGAAGTTTCTGACAGACAAACAAACAGAAGCAGCACAGTGATAAAAATGTTTCACTCCATTCTTAGTTCATTATTCTGTAAAATATATAACCTTACATGCAAAATAACAATATAACATATTTAATAGCACGAGTCTTCAAACACATGTAACCTGAAAATTCTAGCAGAACACACACACACACACACACACACACACACACACACTCACTCACACACACACACACACACTCACCTATACACACACACACACACACTGTGTTACTGTACTTAACTGTTATTTTGGAACATTTATACTCGTGTTTTACTGAAATTACATCACTTTTTCTGGTCAGTAAGTGAAGTTCATCTACATCTGTCTTTATTGTTTTCATTAAAGCATCCAACCAAATTTATAATAGTGTAAAATGAAACTGCACACAGCTAATATTTTTGAGTGATTAATAATTCCTAATTGTTCTGTTTAATCCTAGTTATCTTCATGTCCATCATTTTGAGATCCTTCTTGCTTTTTGCTAAACAAAACTATATTATGTCATGGTCTAACAGGCCTCTATTTTAAAGAGGAGCTGGAGCCCTGCAGTATTCATATCAACATACTAATCAGATATAACAGCCATGGTAATAGGTAATAACATTTCTATACTGAATATGTATAAAAAAAGTATGTCATTGGATTTTCTGTTAATAACGTTCATTTCTTTGTTTTTAAACTGACATATTAACCTTTAGGTGTCATGAGAACACAATGTACTGTATTTACCCTGTTTTACATGTAAATTGCTGTGTGTAGGCTGTGGGGGATGTGATTGGGAAAGATGTAATAATAATGTCAACAGAAAATGGAATAAACTGAAAGTGTTAGCAGTCATTTGTGGAATTAGCTGTAAATCTCTACCTCACCAGAGCAGTCATCAGTTTCCTCTCTCTCCTAAATCTTGTGTATTGGCTGTAAACATGAATTAAATTTTGTTATATAAATCCTGAGTGGGCGATGGGAACGTTGCTGACCTGTGTTTGTGTGTGTGCACTGTTTATAACTGAGTCCTCAGGACTCAGAGAGAGGAAGTTTAGGGAGTTCAATCAGTTCCACAGTTTAATCTCTTTTCTTTTAGGTAATGTCCAATAACATGTACACACACTCTCCACTACCTGCTTTGTGATGAGTGTTTATACTTAACCTTCATCGTCTCCTCTCTGTTTTGTATAATGTGCTGCCTCTACATCATATAGACAGTCCTGGTTATGGAGCTGAATCTCAGACAGCCGTCAGTCACTGAATCAGTGTTAAAGAGTAACTCCACCCTGACCTTTTTTCATTGACAGCTGAAATGCACGGCTCTGTAATTATTAAATATACCAGTCTTGCTTAAAATGTAAACATCTTTCCAAACTGTAAAAATATCATTTTTATCCTGGTCAGTTCCGCCTCTGCTGCGCCTCTCTGGTTCAACTCTGCTATAGGTGTGGATGACGTGTCTTGTATTAGAAGGTGGCTGTCATGGTTTTAGGGAATGTTGTACCGTTCAGTGCCTCTGCCGCTCGCTGCTAATCATTATCTGGCACTATGTTAACTCTTCAGCAGCTTGAGGTCTGTGGCTCATACTGTTAAGGCTGAAGATGCACTGCCTGATCAGAAACACCTTACCTTGTCAAAGATGGGGATGGTGGTAGAGAAAAATCGTCAGCCTCGTAAGACCTTGAAGTTGCAAAAGTGCCGTTTGATTGAGTCTCTCTCCATATTTTCTGGTAGCTAACATACACTAGTTCTAAAACCACAGCAGCCCCACCTTCAAACCCATACATCACTGCAGTGCCTCTCCCAGTGTTCCCATTTTTGAGCATTTTTCAAAGTTGAGCCAGGGGTAGCTGAAAATAGTGAGGTGTAGTTACTCTTTAAATTAACGTTAAAGCTTCAATGTTAACATCATTGATCTTTGACAGCATTTTAATCTGATGGTGATTCTGAATTAATACTGAAACAATGTTATTGATATTGACATTAATACAATGATTACTATATTGATAATGATATGTTATGTTGATAGAACACAATGCTGATACAACCTTGACGAAAATTATGATATTGATGGAAAATAAAAAAATGGATCAATATCGTCCTCATATCAGGTCACTTAGTGGATTTTCAGAACTCCACTGGGAACCACTGGGTGTTTTAATGACTGTAGAACTGTATATTAGGAGTATCTTCTAGAGTGTTAATAACTAAAAGTTGAAATGAATGTGTTGTAATATATGATACTGTCTTAAAAGTGCTGTTCATGTTTTCCACAAAATACAACCTATAAAATCAATATATTATTTGTCACACAGAGAACAGAAGGAGACATCAGAAACTACTAAGAGAAACATGGAGCTCTTATTCGAGGTGTGTGTAACTAAATGACAACACATCACTGTAAAAATGATTTCATTTGATATTTTCACTCTGCTTAATATTTCATTTTAGAGCAGTTTATTATTTAGGATAACAACAATTTACTTTTTTGCTTAGAAATGCATTTAATTGTGTAGTAACAGGCAGTGATTCTGCTTTATCTCTCATGTAATACAAAATCATATATTAATCTCTCAACTAACCTGAAAAAAACACAACAGAAAACAAAAAAAAACAACACATTTTTGGGAACGGGACATAAAAAGCTATGTTTTCATGTTTTTATGCTGTTTTTATTTTGCTTTTATTTATGTGAAGCACTTTGAGTTCGTGTATGAAATGTCTTATAAAAATAACCTTGCCTTATAAATATTATTATACCAAATATACATTGTAAATATCATGCTTTCATCATTCTTTCTAAACAAAACCATGTTATTGCACTGACCATCAATCAGGATCTGGAGCACAAAGTCATCTCTCTGGTAAAGAATCAGCTGAAGAGGTTTGTGAAGTTTCTGAGTCTGGATTACCCAGCATGCTCTGAGAGAGAAGTGGAGGATGAGGAGGATCAGAGTGTCAGAGAGGGAGCGCTGAAGATCACACTGCACGTCCTGAGGAACATGAACCAGACAGACCTCGCTAACACACTACAGACCAGTAAGAGATCATGTGATTATTGATTATAGACATTAGTTTAAAGAGTTCAAATTATCATAATAATATAGTGTCAATTTTAATTAATTTTTTGTGTTATATTATTTTTGTCATAATAATGACACAGATTGTCAGTATTATTGTCAGTATTTAATCTATTTATTCATTATTTATTGCTATTTGTCCTCTTTTTATTAGAACTGGCTCCTTCCTGTCATCTAAAGCTCAAATCCACACTGATGGAAAAATTTCAGAAAATTAATGAAGGACTCTCGAATCCTGAAATATCAACACTTCTGAATGAGATCTACACAGAGCTGTACGTCACAGAGGGCGGGAGTGGTGAGGTCAATAATGAACATGAGGTCAGACAGATTGAAACAACATCCAGGAGACCAGCAACACAGGAGACGCCCATCAAATGCAACGACATCTTTAAAGACAAACCCATCAGAACTGTGCTGACTAAAGGAGTCGCTGGAATTGGAAAAACAGTCTCTGTGCAGAAGTTCATTCTGGACTGGGCTGAAGGAAAAGCCAATCAGGATGTTCTCTTCATATTTCCACTTCCTTTTAGAGAGCTCAACTTGATGAAAACTAATACACTCTGTCTGGTGGATCTTCTACATCAGTTTTTCAAAGACACAAAAGAATTAAAACCCAGAGACTATGATCACTACAAAGTCATGTTCATCTTTGATGGTCTGGATGAATGTCGACTTCCTCTAGATTTCCAGAACAATAAGAGTGTATTTGATGTAACACAGTCAGCCTCAGTGGATGTGCTGCTGACAAACCTCATCAAGGGGAATCTGCTTCCCTCTGCTCTCCTATGGATAACTACTCGACCAGCGGCAGCCAGTCAGATCCCTCCTGACTGTATTAACCAGATAACAGAGGTACGAGGGTTCAGTGACCCTCAGAAAGAGGAATACTTCAGGAAAAGGATCAGTGATCAGAGCCTTGCTGAAAGAATCATTACACACATGAAGTCCTCAAGAAGCCTCTACATCATGTGCCACATCCCAGTCTTCTGCTGGATTGCAGCCACTGTTCTAGAGAGGATGTTGGGTGAAGCAGAGAGTGGAGAGATCCCCAAGACTCTGACTCAAATGTTCACACACTTCCTGATCTTTCAGATCAAACACAGCAGCCAAAAGTACCAAAGAGAAAGTGACATTGATCATAAACAGACTAGAAAGATGATTCTGGCACTGGGAAAACTGGCTTTCCAACAGCTGGAAAAAGGGAACCTGATCTTCTATGAGGAAGACCTGAGAGAGTGTGGCATTGATGTCAGAGAAGTGTCAGTGTACTCAGGAGTGTGTACTCAGATCTTCAGAGAGGAGTTTGGGCTGCACCTGGGGAAGGTTTTCAGCTTTGTGCATCTGAGTCTTCAGGAGTTTCTGGCTGCTTTATATGCATTTATGTCCTTCATCTCCAACAACAGAAGTGTGCTGCTACAGCAAACCACTGGATTTTCTGGTTTATTTAAAAAGACAACAATGTCTGATTTCCTCAAGACTGCAGTGGACAAGGCCTTACAGAGTGAGAATGGACACCTGGATCTTTTCCTCCGCTTCCTTCTGGGCCTCTCACTGGAGTCCAATCAGACTCTCTTACGAGGTCTAATGACACAGACAGGAAACAGCTCTCAGAGCAAAGAGGAAATAGTCGAGTACATCAAGGTGAAGATCAGGGAGAATCCCTCTCCAGAGAAAACAATCAGTCTGTTCCACTGTCTGAATGAACTGAATGATCGGTCTCTAGTGCAGGAAGTTCAAACATACCTGAACAGAGGAGGTTCCAGTGGTCTCCGTGGAGCTAAGCTCTCTCCTGCTCAGTGGTCAGCTGTGGCGTTTGTGATGCTGAATTCAGAAGAGGAGCTGGATGAGTTTGACCTGAGAAAATTTGACCCATCAGATGAATGTCTTCTGAGGCTGCTGCCAGTGGCCAAAGCATCTAGAAAAGTTGTGTGAGTATTTTGTTTTGTTGCACTGATGTATAATGATTTATTCATGTTTTCCTGTTTTTAACTATATGCATGTTTTGATCTGGATTTCTTTTTACTGAAAATATAAAATCATAAGCTGTGCAGTGAAATTAAATGTGTCCATATAGATTTTTTTATTTCACATAATATTCATTACTTTTTAAAAGCTTAGGCATGTGTAAGGACACATACATTTATGAAAATCTGTTGCAAACACATTATGGCATTTATATATTTGTCAACTCAACTCTCATTTATCAAATCTTTTAGCAACAAGAAAATCTAATGGGATTAAAATACAGTTGGGTGTTTAACAATAAAATTAAATGTAAAAAACAATAATTAATAGAATCTAAAATCACTTAAAAATCTTACATACAAATAGAAAAGTATCATTTAAATGAAACTCTCTCCAGTATGTGCTGTACTTTTACTCACCTTCCTCTACTGTTAACACTCTGCACTGACTGAACTGGACAGACTTGTTGGATATGACAGTAATAATCCCTGAACACAGTGAATCCCCAACAGCAGGAAATAAGAGAATAGATTTCCCTTCATAAACAGGATGCAGACTTTGTTTTGTTGATTTTCTTACTTAACGTAAGTTAACAAGTTAATGATTTAAAATATTCTCTACAGAAAACAAACATTTATTATTGATGAATTATTATTATTATTATAATTACAATAACATAATAATGACAATAATAATTATTATTTTTTATATAATAACTTCTTCTTTGATTACATCTGCATATTAACAAAACCTCAATATTTCATTATATTATTTGTTTGTTAGGAAAGATTATTGTGAATATCTATGTTTAATATTGGCCTCACAATTTTTGTTTGTATTTGTCATCACTCAGAGATGTGAACTTCAGCATTAAATGTTGTGTTTACAACATTTGGTCAGTGGAGCTAAACTATTTCAGCTCATTGTGAGTGAATATAACTCAAGGATTTGTGTGCGTGAGCGCGTTTAGGTGTGTGTTTGTGTGTGTGTGTGTTTGTGCGTGTGCGCATTTATGTGTGTGTTTGTGTGTGTGTTTATGTGTGTGTGGATGTGTTTCTGTGTGTGTTTGTGTGTGTGAGTGTTTGTGTGTGTGTGTGTGTGTGTGTGTACCTAATATTTTTTAAAAATGAAGTTATTTAAAAAGATAACATGCAGGATCATCTGAACGTGGCATGTTCCTCATAACTGTACCTGAACTCCTTTGTGAGATGTGATTAACGTCTCACAGTTTATCTTTGTGCTGTTCCAACAATCTGACCCTAAATATTCCTAAAACCAAACAACTGGTAGTTTGACTTTTGTAGAGGAGAAAAGGCTCCAAAGCTCATCATCCTGATCATTAAAGAGTAACTACACCCCACTGTTTTCAGCTGACTCCACTCCTGGCTGGGCTGCTGTGTTTATAGCTATCAGTAAATATGCAGAGACAGAATCAAAGGACACTTCTGCTACTTCAACATCTTACAGGGTTGGAGATTTTTCTCCACTACCGTCCCCATCTTCATCAAGAGAAGGTGTTTCTGATCAGGCGGTGCGTCTTGAGCCTTAACAGTATGAGCCACTGACTCAAACCACTGATGTAACATAGTGCTAGAAAATGAGAGGCAGAGGTGCAGAACGGTAGAACAAGACAGCTAGCTTCTAATGATCTGTTCAGCAGGTCCATATTCAATATAACCTGAGTCCAGATTTCTTAGATGTACTGAATTCTGAATTAATAAATAGACTTTCTTTGAACATGAAAAACATACTTCTATTAGGCCATAAGAAGGGTTGGGATAGCTACTGAAAAATTAGCAGTTAGCTACTTTGTAGCTACTTTCCTAAAATGTGTAGCCAGCTACAGTGTAGCTACTTTTCCAGAAAGAGTAGTGGCTACGTTTAGCTACTTTAAGAGCGCGATTGTCTGAATGTTTGTTAATCTCTACCTGATACACCAAACTGACAGTGTGAACAAGACACTGCATTTAATCATGTGCCAGACAGAATCATACAATTGAAAAACTGCAAATATACAAAAAGATAAAAACCAAAACCAAGACTAAAAAGTGTAACCAACAATGAAACTTACACAACCAAATGCATGATATCCAACAAAAATCTAGACAAAAGGCAAAGTCAATCATTCCAGGTTTTTCCTAACAAAAAATCAACAAACATAACTGAATATAAACCAGAGAATTAAGTGCAAAGCATTGTGAACTGTTGAAATAAAACTGCTCCAATTTAAATATTTCAGCAAGATACACCAATCAGCCATAACATTATGACCACCTCCTTGTTTCTACACTCATTGTCCATTTTATCAGAACCACTATATAGGTTCACTTTGTAGTTCTACAGTTACAGACTGTAGTCCATCTGTTTCTTTGCATACTTTGTTAGCCCCCTTTTACCCTATTCTTCAGTGGTCAGGACCCCCATGGACCTTCACAGAGCAGGTACTATTTGGGTGGTGGGTCATTCTCAGCATTGCAGTAACACTGATGTGGTGGTGGTGTGTTAGTGTGTGTTGCGCTGGTCTGAGTGGATCAGACACAGCAGTGCTGCTGGAGTTTTTAAACACCTCAGTGTCACTGCTGGACTGAGAATAGTCCACCAACCAAAAATATCCAGTCAACAGCGTCCTGTGACCACTGATGAAGGACTAGAGGATGACCAACACAAACTGTGCAGCAGCAGATGAGCTATCGTCTCTGACTTTACATCTACAAGGTGGGCCGACAAGGTAGGAGTGTCTAATAGAGTGGACAGTGAGTGGACACAGTGTTTATCAGTAAAAGGCTGGTTAAGCCTAAAGGCTAAAAACTACAATATCTATAAATACAGTAACTAAGATTTACCAATAATAACTAAAAAGAACACTTAATAACACGGTAAATGTGATGAGATGATATGTATGGAAAACATCCAGAACGGCGCTGATGTTGTCCCTCACTCTAGACTTCTATGGTTTCATATATTTGAGCGAGGCACTAGCAGAGTCATCTCTAGACATGACTCTGGGCACACGTTGGGCATCATCGGGGGCATAACGTTGGTTAGCTGATTTGCATACTGTGACACATCATCCACGCCTACAGCAGAGTTGAATCAGAGGTGGAACTGACCACGATAAAAATAATATTTTTACAGTTTGGAAAAATGTGTTTACGTTTTAAGTAAGGCTGGTATATATTATTGTTACAAAACAATGCATTTCAGTTATAAATGAAAAAAGGTGTTAGGGTGTAGTTACTCTTTAATAACCATGATATAAGTATCTGGCCACAATCATCTCAAATTACTTCATTATGTACATCATTAAATTACAAACAGGCTTTTCTGTTGCACCAGCTTAAAAAAATTGGAGTCTTGAGGCAGAGAATGTCACAGATTTATAGAGCTATGATAGAAAACATGCTCATCTTCTCCATCACTGTGTGGTTCAGGAACTGTGTGCTCTGCCTCAAAGATCATTGGTAGTAAACTGACAGACTCAGGGCTATTAAAGCAAGAAGCTCCCAGTTTCTTTGCACTGACTGTAAGATGGTTCATGAACTCTAAGCCACTTAAGAACACTTAAGACAGTATATAAACAAGCTTTAAAAGGCTTTGATAAAAAGTCAAATCAACAGAATTATTGTAATATTTTAGCAAGTTTTAAGTTTTAGTTTTAAAATCCTAAATGGTCTCATCTCTTTAGTGCTTGGACAGTTTGTATGTAAGGTCAAAAATAGGTCATCATGGGCAATTACAAGAGATGACTGCATAATATCATTTAGGAAAATTGCAAATGTGCTTTTGGTCAGTCTGGATTTTATTTTCATGCATCACTTGATTGCAAATGCTCGCCTTGCTGATTTAGAATATTTTACAATCATTGATTTATATTTTAAAAAATGAAAAAAGTAAAAGATCACTGGATACTCAAATCTGCCAATATAATTTTTAATTATATTATGTTTTGAAAACTTTTTGTGTTTTGGGGGTTTAGTTTAATGTGCGTTGTAATGAAGCATTTTGAAACATTGCTTTATGATTTTGTTTTTTTGTCTGTGTGAGACGCTTTGTTTAGTGTTTAATTTTGTTATTGATGTTGGACTAATTGCAGATTAACTTTCCATCAAAGTGGTGAGCCTCAACATATATAATACAATGAGTGTATATTTACAGAAATGAATGAAGTTGATAAGATAAAACATCAAACACACAGCAGTTTTGCAGTACTTTCACTCAAATACAGGTCAACCTAGATTAATAACTTACTACTTTCTGTATTTATTTGCATTTCATGCACTGTCCCAACTTCATAAAATTGGATTTGTACATTAGTGTGTGTCTGTGTGTGAGTGTTAGAGAAAAAGAGAGATTACAGCCATTAGTGTGTGTGTGGATTCTAAATTGTGTTTAGTGTGTAGTTTGTGTTTCTCATTTTTTTTTCATTTTATCTGCTGAACTGATGTTCTTGTTTGAGGTGTCAGTGTTTCTGATAGATCATCATTTTTCTCATAGGCTGTGGAGGTGTGATCTCACAGAGAAAAGCTGTGTAGATCTATCCTCAGCTCTCAGCTCAAACTCCTCAAGTCTGACAGAACTGGACCTGGGTTTCAATAAACTGCAGGATTCAGGAGTGAAGCTGCTCTCTGCTGGACTGAAGAGTCCACACTGTAAACTGGAGAAAACTGGAGTGAGATCATCACTTTCATTTGTCACTCACACACACACACTTTTTTATCTACTATTCTTTTTGCTGAGACTATTTTAGTGTAGGTGTGTGTGGTAGAGATCCTGCTTTTCTTCTGTATTTGTGTGAGATGTTTATGAATGTTAATAAAGATGGAAAAGAGAGTATGTACATTAGTGTGTGTGTGTGAGAGTATGTACATTAGTGTGTGTGTGTGTGAGAGAGAGTATGTACATTAGTGTGTGTGAGAAAGACAGAAAGTACATTGGTGTGTATATGTATGTTTTAATGATTGTTGTTTTTTTATCTGCTGAATTGATGTTCATGTTTGAGGTGACTCAGTTTTGAGGGTGTTCTGAGTGTTTCTGATGATCTATCATTTTTCTCTCAGGCTGTATAACTGTAATCTCACAGAGAAAAGCTGTGCAGTTCTGTCCTCAGTTCTCAGTTCAAACTCTTCAACTCTGAGAGAACTGAACCTGAGTGGGAATGAACTGCAGGATTCAGGAGTGAAGCTGCTCTCTGCTGGACTGAAGAATCCACTCTGTAAACTGGAGAAACTGGGGTGAGATCATCACTTTAACAGACATACACACAATTTTTGACCTGATATTCTTCTGTGTTTGTGTGTGTGTGAGATGATGTTTATAAATGTTAATAAAGATGTGAGTTTTTCTTCTTCTCTCTACAGCCTGTATAACTGCAGTATTACAGAAGAAGGCTGTGCTGCTCTGGTTTCGGCTCTGAAATCAAACCCCTCACACCTGAGAGAGCTGAATCTACTCTCCAATAAACCAGGAGAGTCAGGAGTGAAGCTGCTCTCTGATCTACTGAAGGATCCACACTATAAACTGGAGAAACTACAGTGAGTTACTGAATTACTGTCTCTGTACACATATTCACTCAGTGGATGATCTACAACATTTTAGAGTTCAACCTCCTCCATAAACACACACAGACACACAGATTGTTGTGTGTGATGGATCTTGAGGTCTGTATGAGGAATGAATCAGTGTGTTTAATACAGATTGTGTGGGGTTGTGTTGTTTGAGGTGTTCAGTGAAGTGTTATGATACAGCTTCTCTTCTCTTTTGTGTGAAATGATTCATATTTGAATATGTGGTGTTTGTAGTTTTTTGATGTGATGCTATCCTGATGCCTCTGGTGCCTTTTGTCTTACTAATAATGTGAATTTCCTCATAGTGAGTTTCAGGCAAACAAAGACAGAGAGCTTTATTTATATAATGATTTTATTTATTGTTGGTGTTTTATGTATATGAGAGAGAATTGAGTTTGTGTGCTAAACTGAAAATTCTGTAAGCTAGAAATGTCAACATATTTGGACCATACCAGCATAATTTGATACATACTTTTTAATCTTGTCATAACAGCACAGAGACGCTTTGTCACACTGCCTTTCTTCAGTGTGTCAGTGAGTTACTGTTGTGGTGGTTAAATGCTTCTTAGTTTAATCCACCTTGTTGGCTGAAAATGTTGGCTTTGACTCCCACAAAATAAAAAGACAGTAAAAAAGTAAAGTTTAGATAAAGCTGGTTAAAGAATATTTTGCAAAAAATGTTTACAAATAACTGAAAATCTGAAATTTTCAATTACTGAACAAACACATTCAGACAGTTTTGCCTGAGTGATAGCAGCTGTGTGTGTGTGTGTGTGTGTGTGTGTGTGTGTGTGTGTGTGTGTGGACAAAAAAACTGTGTCACCATTTTAGCCACGACCCACAGTCAGGCTCCCTCTCTTTATAACCTGCTTGACCTGTAGGGGGCGACTCACACAGAGAGAAATTAATACACACAACACTAAATCAACATTCTAGCTGAGGCTCCTACAGCTGTCATGAGTGAGTCTATGAGAGAATCAGAGCTGTTTATTGGTTCATTAGTGTTGATGAGGCTGTACTGTTTATCTAGTGATGGTGTTTATCCTGATTGTGTCTGTGTGTGGAGTCTGAGTGCTGACTGTGATCAGTGTGTGTTCATGTCTGATCATTCTGTCCTGTTTCCTGTTTTACAGCATTGACACAACAAACATCTGACCTGGTCTGAGTCTCACACACACTGGGGGTTATGAGGAGAGGATGAAGTCTTATAGAACACACACACACACACACACACACACACACATTCATATCTGCCTCAGTCTTGATGGGTTTTGTGTGTGTGAAACTCAGATTTGCATGAGCAGGATGGTCTTCCCTTCCCAGAAAGAAGCAGCTCTGGGTCCAGATGTTCATCATCTCCAGAATTCAGAGCTCAGAGCAGCATCACTTTAGTTTCAGCACCAGCATGAAGATCCAACCTGCCTCATTCTAGCATTAACTGAGTACAGATACAGACGAGACTGTGGCCTGAATAGTGATTATATACATTAACAAATAAAAAAATATAACACCATTAATATAAATATTTAATGTTCACTGATAACATTAAAAAATATGCACCTTCTTTAATTACATTATATCTGAATATATTTTAAAGTTGAATTAAATCTGTCCTAAAAAAAATAATTTACAGATACTTTAATCCTTCATTGATCTCCATCATGATCATTAATGAACCTCTGTAGATCATTAGATGTGCCTGGAAATGTTCTCCTACATTAACAGCAAGAATGTTCACTGAACTTCACAGATTTAAAGACTCTCTATAGCATTTCTGAGTCTAATGAAGATGAAAAAATTACTATCAGACAATAAAACATACAGTATTGTTGTTTGAAACTCGAGGCATGACTGTGAGGGTGGGCGGGGCCAAACCTAAGAGACACAGAGACGTGTCAATCAACCAGCACAGACACACCAGAGTGGGTTTCACTTCTCTTATTTTGTACAGAGCTGAACTGAGTTCAGTGGAGCATTAAAATGTTTCACCCTCTAATTATAACCTGCTTTACAGTTTAAACTGCCTCTCAGAGCTGTGGTCATCAAAACTGTCCTGTTTTTAGAAATATTTTAATATTTTCTATACCACACATAAAAATTAGGAAAATTAATATCTTATCATTTAAAATTAATGTTAATGTTGTCTCTATAAAGCAATAACTGAAAAAATCATTCAGAATAGAAATAATAATATCATTAAAATAAAAATAGACTACATCTGTTCTTAAAATATTTGTAAGTATTTATTATAACCTACACTGTGATAATCCAGTGTGAGAATAAGAATTACAGTGAAAGAGCTGCACTGAGAGTCTACTGTAAATAACAGATCTTTATACTGTTAAAATAAACTCAGTAATTAAAGGCAAGTTGAGAGAAATTCATTGAAACATTTATACTTTTATTAGTGACAGTTCAGAAACAGACGGTCGATTAAAACTCTCCAAACACAGTAAACACTGATACTGTTAAATAAATAAAAATCAGAAAAATACTGAACACGATGTACAAAACCATCAAATACATTGATTTTCCAGAATTTATTAATAGATTAACTATGAATAAGAAACAAAAAGCTACTTACGGCCAACTGACAGTTTCGTTCCTCCACCAAAAGTGTACCACAGTGATACAAACTCATTTAGTGTCTGTACAAAAACCTCCTGCTCTAAAGACTCTGCTCTCTCTGTGCTTCACTAACAGCTTTTTCATATCAGTCATTAAATACTGATGAGTTTTATAATCAGCAGATAAATGTATAAATTCTGAGAACCTAAACTTCTGTTTTATTATTTTTAATCTTCTTTGTTTGTCTGAACTGAGGTCACACATTGATGTGTTGTCAAATTGCTAATTTGTGTATTAAACTGTAATATCATTTTAAAATATTTACTTTTTTTTATTTTACTTGATTTTAATTTGACCTTTGGATTTAAATAATAATAAATTATTACAAGAACAGAAAACAGTTGAAGGGCTGCAATGTATAAAATATCTTTTTGGTTCTGTTGAGTAACAACATTAACATGGATAAATGAACATAAGATAATTTCCTGCTAAAAGGGAGAAAAATATTGAAATAAAATGTGTATTTTGACTGACAGCAGTAGCTGCAAAATCCCTCAAGAGAAAGACTGACACACTTTAAACTGAACAATATGAGACGCCCCCCACTGGACATTAAGAGAATATTACACTGATCTGGAGAGGCAGATTGCTGAGCTGTGAGAAGATCAACTGTGGAGATCAGGAGAGTGAAGATTCACATATGAATCACAGTAAAAAACCTCAGATTGACAATAAACCTCTACAATATACTCAATAAAACAGTTTTAAACAGTTTACAGTGTGTTCAGTTCAACACATTTCAGCAACAACAGAAGCTGATAAACAACACATATAAACATTTTCATGCTTCTGTCTGATATTCAGCAGCTCTAAACTGAACCATGAAGAACTCCTTCTGTTTCCATGCTGTTATACTCAATGTCACATGATCACTGCAGCCAATAGAGTCATTTCCATAGAGAGAGCTGACTTTGCATTATCAGCACATGCTTCAGTGCTCTGGGAGAGTTTATAGTCCTGTGAGTTTAACACTTCATGACTGAGAGCTGCTGCCCCACAAACTTCACCCACAGCAGACATGACTTTGACCACCATCTTCATCTGGACTCTGATCTTCTGGACTCAAGGTAACACACTGTTACACATTTAACTTTATGAAGATTATTTATGAAAATATATTGAAGCACATGCATTTGAGGGGCTTATTTTAAAAATAATGTGTATTTATGAGTCACCTTGAATTCTTATTATTTTACTTAGAATCCAGAGGTCAGGCGACTGTGACTCAGACTCCTGCAGTGAAATCTGCTCTTCCAGGAGAAACAGTCACCATCAGCTGTAGAACCAGCCCTGCAGTGTATAGTAACTATCTAGCCTGGTATCTGCAGAAACCTGGAGAAGCTCCTAAACTCCTGATCTACAGTGCTACTAGCTTACAGTCAGGAACTCCAGCTCGTTTCAGTGGCAGTGGATCTGGAACTGACTTCACTCTGACCATCAGTGGAGTCCAGACTGAAGATGATGGAGATTATTACTGTCAGAGTTTACATTATATCAGTAGCACAAACCTGTTCACACAGTGATACAGAGCCGTACAAAAAGCTGTGAGAGTCAGAGACACAGAGACTGCACTGCTGCAGCTGAGACCTACTGCAGGTGCTGAGGGGGAGGATGTGATACAGCACAATCACACACTCTGTGGAGGAGAGGAAACACACCACACTAACACACAACTCAACACACATATCTATAAATAAGCACAAAGCAAAAATGCACACAGCACTTCTATGAGAGGAGTAGTTTAGTGGAGCTGGAGCTCATTCTAGTCCTACTGTTCATTTTAATTTACTAACTCATGTTTAGAGTTTATTCACTTATTTTATGGGATTTCCAAAAAGATCTACTTTCATGTATCTCGTTTTCACCAATCCCGATTCTGTCCTGTTTAAATGTCCTCACATTCTGCCCTCTCCTCGTCTCCTCTCCACCTCCCAGTTCAAATCACAAAATATGAAAAGTGCCATAGAGACCCCCTGGTTATG